CTCACTGCATTCATATTAGTTACATTTATGATTGTCTACTTCATTCTCAAATGAAAGAAAGTGTAGTAAAAATAAAGCAGACTTGCATTCCTTGTGCATGCAAAACTTCTATTGACTTCACGGGGAAGGATCTGATCCTTAATCTCTGTATGTATGACTGGACTGAAATTCCATTAGGAAATAAAATAAACATATATTGAAAGGGGTATTGGGAGTGGTTATACCAAGGTGCTTTGACAAACCCAGCATTCAGATTCAAGTGAAAGACACATTGGATTGGTGTGAAAGTAATATGAAACACTTACCAGTATGGGGGCCCAGCTCCGGGCCCCTGGAAGGGGCAGGGCCTCAGGCAGAAAGGGTGGGGTTGGGGATCAGCCTCCTCCAGCCAGCCCATCAGCGCTGCCTGGCCTGTGCTGCCCGGGGCTCCGGCAGTGATTTAAAAGGACCTGGGACTCCGGCTGCTGCTGCAGTAGCAGTGGCCAGGAGCCCCGGGTCCTTTTAAATCACCGGTCCTGGGGGAGCTGCCCTTTTGCCCCCTCCCCTGTCGGCGGCCCAGGGGGGGCAAAAGGGGCAATGACATTAAAGCGCTGCCGCAGCACTTTAACATCAGCTGTGTACGGGCCGGGACTGTACCGTCCCGTCCCGTCCTATTTTCATCCCTGGATTGGATCAACAAAAACATCAATCCATTAAAACTGTTTTATGACATCTAAAGCAGAAAGAGTAAAGCAAATGCAAATATTTAGGGATAGGAAATGTTAGAAAGAGGGAATAAAATAAGAGTAGAGACCATACCATGGACCACAGCCTTAAAGGGGATTACGGTGGTGGAGTTGAGAGCAGAATTTGGCCTGCTATCTCTTAAACAATTCAAACTCCATGTAGCTTCAGTAAGAGGAAAAAGTGAAAACTTATCATCATTAGAAACTTTTACAACATATGGTGCATTTCCAAGTATTAGCTTTGGTCATCTGCATCAATCCTGTTGAAGGTCAGTTGGGAATAGCGGCACCAAAAGTGATAGTCTTTATTACATTTGAAGTATTTCCATCCACTATAAATCTACGTTTTATAGATGATATTAAGGTCACAGCACAGTGATTATAGCTTTACAGAGAAATGATCAAAATGACAGGAATGAGTACAAGCTGAAGACATATAAAATGGAAATAAGAAAATGGTCTCCAAGCCATTACTCAAGAAAGGGAATTTGTCAAGCTACAGCAACTGGTGGAGTACTGTTACCATATTTTCAATAAAATAATTGGAGAAAGCAAAGAGGAAGTCAACCAATGATTTACAAGAGCAGGTAACTATTGTGCATCTTCATAGGTCATGTGCAAAGCAGGCTTCCACCCTTCAATATGAAAAAATAATGAATGAGGGTCTTGCATTGTAGACATCAGTATTAATTACATTGAGTTTGTGAAGGCATTCATTAGGTCGCCCCTGTCATTTTAATTCAACCTGTGTTGTAAATGTGGGTTTATTTTAAAGCCGATCAACACAGTACCTAGCCCGCATGACATTCTGACAGTGAAAAGAATTAATCGGCATCATTGCTCTTCCAGGAATGTGTCCTTTCATTGCTACTTCTGTCATAATCTCTTCTGTGGCTTCTGGCTGAATACTAAAAAAAAAGTGTTGGATGAAAAGCACTTGGAAACTAATTAATCTGAGGAGGTAGAACAGTTAATTTGTATTGATTGTGCAAGTTCATTGCTCTGCTCTTCAGCAGCCCTTTACAGAATATCAGAGGAGGCAGTGGTTATATTCTTTGCCAAAGTAATAAATGCAATGTCTGAAAAACAAGCAGTGTAACTTTGGAGAATCTGTAGCCACTCTGTCTCAACCCCACCCCACTAGAAATCAGTAGTGAGGGAGGATCATCGACACTTGAACTTTGTTTCATGTCCTCAGCCTCGGTTGTCAGTTCCTAGTGAATAGAAGGCTGTTTTTGATTTCACATCAGGTTTTGCAATATTATGGCTCCAATATTGTGAGTTCTGATTTACAATGGTATAAATATGATTAGAATCAAGCCCTAGAAACCTGATCCAGTGCCAACTAAAGTCAATGGGATACTTTGATGGGCATTGGATTGGACCCAAGGGGTGAAATCCTAGCTCTATTGAAGTCAGTTGGAAGATTGCCATTGACTTCACTGGAGGCAGAATTTCACTGTAGGTGGTATCGCATTTAACACCTTTATCTGTTCTGCAAAGAAGCCAACAATTGAATGGGCAGGGAAAATGAACTATCTCTGCATACCCTTTCAGCTCAAAATAGACTCACATTTGCAGGGCAGTGTTAAAGAAGATGTAATTGCTCTTGACTATGCTGTACCTCTTCTCCTTAATGAGAACATCAGATAACAGTGCTATAACTTGACACCGTCAGTAGACATTAAATTAGAAAACAAAGTAATGCACAAAGCAGAAACAGTGGATGTGAAATAATTAGAACTAAGTGGTAATGCCGTCATTTCGGTTCTCTACCAAGCAGAGATGGTGGATGACGGATTCTCATCTCATTTATATGGGGTTCACATTTGTGTAACTCCATGGAATTCAATGGAGTTGCTCCTGATTACACCAGAGTAACCAAGACCAGAATCACACCCATGGGAATTTAAACAGAAAAAGCGAGAGAGAGAAAAAGTATAAAGGCTTTTGACAGCTATATTATGTGGAGAATTATCAGATAAAAATAACATCAATGCATTTCTAACCAGGAGAGTCCTAAGACAAGTTAAGCTATCAATCATTTGTATCACTCACCATTCAGTAAAGAGATTCAGCATCTGAATCAGTCATTACAATGTAAAAGAGAATTAGTAATGTTTCAAACAAAATGCAGATAAATGAACTGGAGGACAATGCAACTGAATTTTAAAACTTGACAAGAATCCAGAATTATTTCATTAGTCCGACATGGGAAGATTTGGTTTCTTCTTGTTATGCAAGAAATTTGAGAAGTTAAGTCTTAGGTAGAATGATTTTTAAAAGTGTAACATCATATAATATACTTTTGTGTATCATCTTGCCTCCAGAAGGAACCTAGAGGACAATAAAAAGTATGGTGCACATCCTGAGTTCCTTATTAATTTTTGGGTCAGTCCCTATTCATGCAAGCTCCACTTCATACCAATGAGAGTTTGCCTGAATAAGAACAGTGAATATTGAGCAAAATCTAAGGAAGACTTCAGGATTTGCCTCGATGCATATTGTATTACACCTTCTTAATTTTGTTTTTAGTTCTCCTGAGATTTGCACATATATTACTTCTTTTCACTACACAGAAATTAGGCAGGAATTTATTTTCAAATGTACCTTGTTCAGCTTATTATAAAGTTTATTACTTTACTTTCAAACCAAAAACATACACCTCAAGTGGTCCATGTTTTAGATCAATGTATTTGTTTGTTTCATAAACTACAGGAAGAAAGAGAAGTATGACGCACATTTTTCATAAAATGGTTTTGCCTTGGATTATGTGAGCACATTGATAGATACGGGGACAGGTGACATCTAGCCTTCAATCATATGGCACAGCATAGTCTTCCAATGCATTACATGTGCCATCCTGTCCAGGCAGGGTATGATGAATCAAGGCAGACAGGTGCACTATGAGGCAGAGTGTGAACATCGCAGCCTCATTGAAAGTCATCCTGGGTAGCATGTTCTGGAGACACGAAACGGATTAGCTGTCTGGAACCTGAGCATGCCCACTAGGCAGTACACCCCTTGGTGTGGAAGTCAACGTACCCTCCACTTCCTTTCCCAACTGTCATCTTGGGCCATGAACCAGCATGTGAGGAGTTCCTCTGGATTCAGTGGAACTCCTCATATGCTTTAAGTGTGTGCTTCAGTGCGTTCTAGATTCAGGGCCTAAAGCACTAGACCAGAAGTCTGCCTAGCTGTTATGGAAGATGTCCTCCATGTTTCTGGGCTCCTGCTAGCATCTGTACAACCCTGAGCAGAATTTGGCCCATAGTACTAAAAATATTTTCAGTATGAATTTCTAGTGTAGACGTGTCTTGAAAGGACTGAATAAAAGGTTTAGAATAAAATATATATGGAAAGAGAGAGAGATGAAGGAAAGGTATGTTTAGAAAACCTAATATAAATGCAGTCTGAGTATTTTCATGCGAATTATTTTTACAACAACTTTCATGAAAGTCTGTGTTTATATCTGGGAGTAGCTGAGATGGTTCTGTGAACACCTGGACTGAAGAAGGAGCTCACTCTTGGTTAAACACAACAGCTGTGCGGAAGTGAGTGAGAACTGGAAAATGAAAGTGGCTATAAACATAAGTGAAACTGACCCATCTAATTTTATTATTCTGATTGCTGAGTATAATGCAATAAGCATGCTAGCTTGTAAATGGCAAAAAGTTAATTGGCTTTTTTTTTTCAAATTCTTCCTGTTTCAGCAGTCGCAGATGTTATTAGTAATACAAGTAAGGACCTTGTTTAACATGTGGCTTTTATCTCAACAGCTTGTCATGTTTGTCTCCTTCCCCCCATATTTTAATGGCCTGTGTGAAATGGCTTATATGTGCCCACAAACATTATAATAAGATGGAAGAATTAGCCTCTGCATTTAATTTACCTCAATTGGCCATATTCATCCTCAGGTATATGCCTGCAACTCTCATTGACTGTAGAAGAACAAAATTTGGCCCACTCCTGGTTAGTTCCCTGGGGTAAAATTCCCCACACCCCAAATAAGTTCTCAAAATAGGATTTCAGTGGCTATTAAGTGGTGTTGTGGCCTTGTGCAGAATTTCATTCATAGTTCAGCACTTATGTAACAGTGAGCTTAGGCTTTCACCCTCCACAAACTTGCAAATATGCTTACCTTTATGCACCTAACTGTTCCCATAAAGTCAATGGGGCTGCACATATGCTCAAAGTGAAGTCTTTACAGGATCAGGACATTAGCCCGCGATCTTCATCAAATTAACAAAAAAAAATCTTAACTTTATCTTGCAGAGATGTTGGAAACCAACAATGTAATCACTTTCAATGGACTAGCCAATAGCTCCAATTACCACACTTTCCTTTTGGATGAGGAACGGAGTAGACTATATGTTGGAGCAAAGGATCACATATTTTCTTTCAACCTGGTTAACATCAAGGAATATCAAAAGGTATCTTCAATCCTACTATAATTGTTTTTTAACAAAACCTGTGGTACAAATCTTGTTATGCAGAGGTATAATGTATAACTTGACAATAGATATAAACTACTTTTAAATTGTCATGACAGCTTATGATAGCTAACATCCCACCCTCCCCCCGCAAAAAAAGAAAATTGTTGCAGCTACAAGGGGGGGGGAAATAATAGGCCAAATTTGGACCTAGTTTAAATGGTTCCGCCAGTTCTAAATTTGGACCAATATATATAAACCATGCAAGTGCTTGCCTACATGAACATTTAATGAGCATCAAGCTGGGATATGAATCTACTCCATGCTAGCTTGCTGTGCTAGTTGTCCATGTAGACTCTGCTGACACACACTAACAGTTAGTGTGCTTTAGGGTATGTCTACACTACCTGTCGGATCGACCCCCCCGAGCGCTCTCCCGTCGACTCCTGTACTCCACCGCCGTGAGAGGCGCAGGCAGAGTTGACGGGGGAGCGGTAGCAGTTGTCTCACCGCAGTGAAGACACTGCGGTGAGTAGGTCTAAGTACGTCGACTTCAGCTACATTATTCACGTAGATGAAGTTGTATAACTTAGATCAATCCCCCCCGACTATTGTAGACCAGGCCTTAGTCTACTCATATTTCAAAGCAGGGACACTAACAAACTGTTAGTGTGTGTCAGCAGGTTCCAGGTGGACAGGTAATGCTCAGCATGCTAGTGTAGGGTACATTCACATCCCAGCTTGCCATGAAAAAACTTTTTGTGTAGACAAGCCGCAAGTCAGCAAGATCAGGAATATAGAATGTCTGATTTTTAGCTACTAATTATAGAGAACATACGGTAAACCTCATTTTAATGTTCTGTAATTATTTGTGCCTGTCCTGTGTTAGGAGTCTGGGCAGAATAGTTAAAGCTCTAGTATATTTTTACAGCGGTATTATATAATTATTGTATATAACATATTGAAAGTATCATAAAAGGTTAATCCCTAGATCCTAAGGTGAAGCTTAAAACTATGGGATTTTACATGCTTATATTTAAGCAATCAAGCTTTAAGGTTTTGTAAAGCTATGGTGCTAATATCTACACAGCTCCCTTTTGCTATGTGTCTTTCTTCTGGTCCATGTCCACTACATCCACAGTAGAATAGTCCTTTTTTACATCTCCTAATAAGGAAGAGTTGATTGAAAAGTAGTAACACAGGAGCAGTAGCACCGGTAAATGAATGCACTTTACCTCAAGCCAGCTATTCACCAAACAGTCCATATTTTTATGTTTACTGCTCAATAAAACGAAGATGACTGTCACGACAGCTCTCACAAAAAGGTCACATTACCATTCACTTTTTTTGAGAGTAGGGCCACTTCGGTGTTTGTGAGGGCGAGTGTTGATTTCTTTTCTTTAGCATGGAGTGCTTTAAAGAATTGTGTTTCTGCTACTCATAAACCATAATAGATTGGATTCTAATAAAAGAGTGACAGATTGGTAAAAGCTCTTTGCCCTTGATGGAGGACATTACTTTTGGTAAAAGTTGTAGACTTAAATTAAAAGCTGATGTACAGTTCAACGGTGCTTTTGGGTATGCTTCTGCTTGAGTCTAAAATGTTGTTTTATCTTTTCATTTATTCTAATGAGCTTTGCCAAAGAGTAAGAAGGTAAACATAGAGATGGAGGTTTGATTTGTTATGTTCAAGCATTTAAAATCCCACAACTTTGATGGTGCATTTTAGATTCAACTTTTATGAAAGATATATTGCTTCAGTACCAGTGGATTTTTTCTTGGTATTCCTGACCTTTTGCCCATTTGCCTATTAGCTTCCTAAGATGATAGCAATAAATACCTTGTGTTCTGTATTCTGAAGGAAGACAGGCCATTCATTTGTATTCTCTAAGGAAAAAGATAAAAGGGAAACTGAGTATTTTCTTTTCTATTCTCCTTAGAGCAGCTATAAAGGAAACTGGCTATTTATTTGTATCCTCTGAGGTATTCATAGTTTAATGCACAAAACATCTGGAATAATTAAAAGAAAGGATGGTGTTTCCACAGTAGAAAACTGCTGTCTGACATTAAGGGAATTGTATCTTCTGTTCTTCAGTCTTCAAACACTTCTAGAACAATGTGTGAAATAATAAACAGACATCATTATATGAAAGAAAGATAATTATTATTGATGTCTCAAAACTGCAGATTCAAAGTGGGATTTGAACATTCCCAAAGATTTAGAGAATTTTTGGATCAGTTTAATATAAAGACCATGGTCACTGAAGAAATTTAGATCTGAATCAAAACTTTTCTAAAGTCTTAGCAGTGTTTGAATCTCAGCCTGTGGTTCAGGTTCATCTCTTATTATTATTAATTATCACATCGTCCCATCATTTTTTGAGCAGGCATCTCCACTGAAATCAGTGAGGATTTCTACTTATGCACTGGAAGTAAGTTATGGCCTCAGCAAAATAGCACAAATAAGGCCAAATTCACCTTGTCATTACAATAGTGCAAATTCACTGTCTTTCACATCAAGTCAACAGAATTGCAGCATTGTCAGAGGAGAATTTGACCTGCCCATATTAGAGATACGAAAAACTGGTTAAGATAATATAGGAACCTTTCTCCAAAACTTGAATTGATCCTGAACTGAACCTTTTGGGGGCTCTAAAAAATTTGGTTAATTTTTTTTTCAACTTTGTAAATTTTCATTTTCACTTTTCTCTGAACTTCTTAAGCCAGGAATAGAAGCAGGAAGAATCTTTGAGAAACCGTGTTCTCATGAAATTTTCAGCCCAATTTTATAGACTCAAAAGATTCAAATTCTGTTTGGATGATATTATATTATATTTGTTAAAGAAAATTCTGAATTTTTGGGTGTTGGTTGAGGTCCACCCTAGACCTCAAAACATCACTAACAATATGTCCTTAATTCTCTTTTGTCACCTGCAATCATCCTATTTTCCTAATACTTTCCCCTTTACTTTATAAATAATGTATTGAATACCAAGGTTATAATCCAGTCTTGTGGCCATTCATATTGCATTATCTGAAGTTACCAACTGAATCGTAACCTGGCATTATGTGAAGATCATGTTTTATTCTATATGTAATTCCTAAAAGATTTTCAACAGACATGAATAATTGACTGAAATGGTCTCTGGGTTTTCTCTGTAGGAAGTGAGATACTTCTTCTACCAGAAGTAATACTACAGCAGGCTTAGGGAGTATTACTGGAAGATTATAGATATTTGCAAAGACACTTATCCAAATCAGCATCAGCATTAGTGTTTGATGGAATGATAGTATCAAACTAACATCGCCATTTTTATTCATTTAATTGAAGAGCAGGAAAAACAAGAGAATTACTATATAAACTGAACAGTCCAGACTCCCATTTATGTTACAATATTCCCAAACCCAATTAAATGGCACATAGTAATAGATATCTATCATATTTAGTGATGTCAAGAAGATGCAAGCTTTGGGCCTGGGTCTCCATTCCATTTTTAAACCAGTGTTGTAAATACATTAAAATCAATATTGATTTACCAGTATAACTGAATGGAAAATCAAGCCCTTTGCTTCCATATTTTTCAAAGTCCGTAGCAGAGATCCACATTATACACCTGTATTTATAATCTTCTTTGCCATGATTCCCATTATATACACTTTATTCTGCTTATGTTTGCGTTTTGTCAGTGAAAGGAATAAAGAGAAAAGCAAAGGAACTGGGTGAAGAGACTATATATAGCACTTGGTATACGATTTGTGATTATTGAAGCACGAAATGGCATAAAGTGATTTTTATTTTATTTCTTTAGATTTTTTGGCCTGTGTCTCATACCCGAAGGGATGAGTGTAAGTGGGCTGGAAAAGATATTCTGGTAAGTACAAATCTTTATAATGGTGTTTTGTTTTTGTGTGTGAAGAATTTGAATATTTCATGAAGTCTAGTGTTAATTTTTAAAGCACTTATTTTTCCTAAGATTACTGTTCTTACTCTAACATGAGACTTGGGTCACATCAGGTTTTTTGGTTGGCTGGGTATTTTGGTCCAAAGAAATGGATGCTGAGTTTAAATGCATAAGAGGATGAAAATCATGCAAATTGAAGAGAAAGTATTTATTAAAAAAGCACCCACTAAAGTGAGAATCATTGATTCTTATTTAATTTTCTTCTGATTTCATTAATTGTGCACTGATTTAGCCCCTGATCATGCAGTAAGCTCCATATAAACCCTTGTGCCCACATGGCACTTCACTGAAGCGAGTCTCCCTGCAGGGTTCCCTTGCGTGCTGCCTGTATGGAGTTTATTGCAGAATTGAGGCCTAAGTGGTTTGAACTTTCTGCATCAGTTTTGGTGCCTCAGGAAAGAAACAGTTATATAACAACTGCTTTACTTACCTTCTCACTCTCTCTCACTCACATATCTCGGTCTTTGTACATATGAGAGTGAGAGAGATTTGGCCACAAGTCCTAACAATTCTCTCAGTGTATATTGATAGTTTAGCCCTGTCTTCCATTATAGGAGCAGAGAGAGAAAGAGGATACATATACACAATAAGTCAAATGGACACATGCACAGTGGGCCAAATGGGAAATCAGTGAAGTTGCAAGGGTATGACTGAGAGTGGAATTTGGCCCCATGTGTATACATTACTGGCCTGAAATTCAGAGATGGTTCACTAAAATATTCATAATGCCAATCTTATGCCTCTGAAGAACTATGTTCTAATACTGTCTTAGGTCAGAAGTGAAAGTGGGTTCACTGGGCTTAACCTAGTCCCTAGAGGACTGTTGTCTACGTCAAAAAATCATTTTTGGAACAGCAGAGGTGGTTTAGGTCAGGACTGACATATATAACCAGCGATGTATGTATGGAAAGGGAGCTCGTGATTTTCATGTGCCTGGCTATAGTATGAGTGTCTCTAGCCGCTTTGTAGTCTGATTTTAAATCACTACAAATATTTTTTACTCAAACCATGTATGTATTCACAAGCACTTCCCATAGAAATATTTTGTGAGATAGAGATCAGAAAATCTAACCTGCTAGGTAACCCAGAAAGTGCGGGTTGGTGTGAAGTACCTGAAGAAATTAACTAACTGTGGCTGTCCAGCGTTGTACTGAGTATTGTTATATTACAGTAAGCAACAATACCATGCCTTGAAGAGAAACTCAGAAATCTACAGCACTGAGAACAAAATTGCTTCCTTTACTTTTTAAAAAAAAACATTTTCTTTTACAAATTCAAAATGATAAAGTGGCGGGGGGGTGGGGGAGGGGAGGAAGGGAAAGTTTCAGACATTGCAGAAAGTCAGTTTCCAATATACTCATAGTAAGTGGCCATAGTTCATTGTGTTGCCCCTGGAATAGTCCAGAAAGAAGGTTATGACTCCGGGAGTCACCATCTCACTTCCAGTCACCTCTGTGTGTATGTGTGTGCATTACACAACAAGTCTATATCCTGATAGTGTATACTCGCTGACATGTCAAGGTAGCTACTCCACTAGGCATGAATGTGGAGTAGATCCATGGCTCAGTCCCATCCTGCTATTTTCTATCTACCTGCATTGGGTATCCCCATGCACTGGAAGCTTCAGTACAGTGTGCTGGCACAAGGGCATAAGAAGGCATAACATGGGGTACGGTGCGCAGGACATACAACAATCTAACCCAAAGTGAGGGTAACAGTGTTACAAGTTATATGGGTCTGGTCAGAACATTTTGAAAGAAGAAAAATGTTGGTAAACAACAGAAAACATATTGCAAATTTTATTTTCTATTTTCCACCAGCCCTACAAATGTACGAGATAAGCCGCAAAGAGTTCATTCTATATATTTAAATATAAATAAAGAATGGCTAGTAATATTTTATGTGGGTCCAGGTCAGCACTGGGGTTTTGGTAGGTGAGTTAGAAATCTGAAGCAGGATTAACTCTCACTGTGTCTAGTTCTCTATTGGTAAACACCCAAAAGTACCTGAGTCACAGGTTTCTCTCCAGTCCTGCTCTTGTCGTTTAATAATGCATTAGAAACAAAGTACTAAATGGTGAAACATAATATAACAATTCTAGATGTAATAACATTAAAGATTGCACATCATTAAAGAAATTTAGCATTCTTCCCTCCTATATTCCTTATAGCTGTTGTCAATACCTAGGAAATGTGAAATATAATGACCATAAAAATAACTCAACGTGCTCTCATTAAACAGAGAGAGGATGCTTAAAGTGGAGTATAAAGCACATTTGATTTAATGTTGCTATCAACGTGGACCATTGCTAAGATATTAGATATTTCTCCTTTGTGATTGCTCACACTTTCCTAAATGAAGTTCTGTATCTTTTATGACAGTTCTCATTTTTAACATTTGTAATTATTGATCTCAAGGGGTGCAGCCAATACTGAAAATTCAAGTCCCCACTAATAAGCCAGGTGCAGTACAGCAGCTGCAATGAAAGTTTTTCCTTAATATTGCCCCAGTGGTAACCTCAAACATGACCTGAGAGATTTCCCCTCATAATTAAAAGAAATAATTTACTGTAGCTTTTATTCTGTCTGAGTCCAAAGGATTCCTGAAATCCACACTGCCAGTCATGCCAATCTAGGCATAGCAAATTGGAGAAATTTCAGTTTGCATGGGATAATGCTGAGGGCAGCATATTATGATATTTTTTTAATTAATGGAGATATCCCATCTCCTAGAAGTGGAAGGGACTGGGGGGAGGGATAGCTCAGTGGTTTGAGCATTGGCCTGCTAAACCCAGGGTTGTGAGTTCAATCCTTGAAGGGGCCACTTAGGGATCTGGGGCAAAAATCAGTACTTGGTCCTGCTAGTGAAGGCAGGGGGCTGGACTCAATGACCTTTCAAGGTCCCTTCCAGTTCTAGGAGATGGGATATCTCCATTAATTAAAAAAATATTATGATATTGTAAATCTAATGATAACCCTTTATTACTTATTTAGCAGTTTCCATTTGTGTGTTTAAAGCACTTTATAAATGTTAATTAGTGAAGCTTTGCAATACCCCTGTTGTATGTTGTCCATTTTATAGGTAGGTAAACTTTTTAAAATATGCTTGACTCCCTTTTACATATCGGTAAACTGAGACACCAGGAGATTAAAAGTCCTCCCCCAAGATCACACAGTGGTTACAGCAGAAGCCACTTTTTTCATAAACAAAATTATCTACTAGACTTTCTCATCAGGTATAGAGAAGTTACCATTAAACTCTTTGTTAGCAGTTAGAGTTGCTGTGATATTTCTCTATCCTTAGTATAGGGAATACTACAAATAGCAAAGTAATGTTATTAGAGAAAAAGGCAAAAGTGTAAATATTTAATAGCAACCAAGGTATTTACTTTTATGGCCAAGCTAAACAAGCGAATGTGATAGCCCAAGAAAAGGAGACGAAGAGTTTCTTATTGCTCTGAACCTCAGCCATGGATAGATATCTCCCTGGATCTACTGTGGTTACACCCTGAAACCTTCCCCTGTAGATTCCTGATCAGGAGTTTGGAACAATCAAAGAATTAATGGTCCCTGCAGAATACATCCCAGGTTTTACACTGAACCACACAGTGCAGATATGATCAATAAAGCTCCTACTGATATAACTCACTACTGAGTTTCAGTATTTTGATTTAAAGAGCTCACAGTCAATCACCTGGGACACAATGGTAACACATGACAATGTCTGCATCACATATGGATTAAATAATAGGGAAAAAAGAAAAAAATGTGGTTATAATTCCATCCTGGGGTTCCAGTGATGTCATAAACCATCAGAGTGTAGTTTGAGTGATTTATGTAGTCACTGGAACCCTAAGATGAAACTGTAACTGGGGATAGGAAAACCAGGGCATAAACTGGAGCTGAGCAGAAACTCCACCTCAAATTCAAACCGTTATTTTGTTACAGTATAAAAAGGTTTGATTAACTTCCCCCTTCCCCTCTATTTGGTGCATCTCTGCACTTCCTAATTTTATAATGCACAGGAAACAGAAGTGCCAAGACACCAAAGGAGTAGTTCTTGTGGTATTTAATTATGGGATTTAACTATGGGATATGGTAAGTTCTCCATGATTTAAAGTCTTTAAGGATGAGTTTTAATAAAGCACTTAAGGGTGCTGACTTCTAGTGGGAACTGGATGCCTAACTCCTTATGAAAATCCCTCTCTAAATCTAAATCAAGTTGGTAGGCTAAATGCAGCAATTACGTGTTTTATGCCCGTGTTATGCAAGATGTCAGACTAGATCAGGGGCCCCCAGTGTGGTGCCCGCGGGCACCGTGGTGCCCGCCGGGGCATCTAGGTGTGCCCGCGTACTGGCCAGTGGACGAGCATCCGCCAAAATGCCACCAAGAAGCAGCGTCATCCAGAGGCATCACCGCCAAAATGCCGCCGATTTGCCGTTGGCGGCATTGCGGCAGCGATGCCTCTGGATGACGCTGCTTCTCGGCGGCATTTTGGTGGCGACGCCTATTGATGTTGCCACTTGTTGGCGGCATTTCGGCGGATGCTTGTCCACCACCACGGTCCTCCATGGCTCATCGTCTGGCACCTGCCAGACGAAAAAGGTTGGGGACCACTGGACTAGATGATCATAATGCTCCCTTTTGGCCTTAACATCTATGAATCTTTGACTTTCCAATCTACCCAAAACATGCTTGGAAATATTTTAAAAAATGTGCCTGGAGTCTTTGTTCTCACAAGGTGTCTAGACCACATAGAATCAAGTAAATTTCTGAAGCTTTGGAACACCATTGGAATGTAACCCACACACTTCCTGGATGTGGTGTTCTGTCCCATCTAGTGGCACCAAGACCACTTAAAGAGGGAGAGAAAATGTGCCTGCTCTACAGCCTGAGCTAACACCCAGTTG